GCTCCATCTTCCTATGTGAAGTTTCCATCATGGCTGGGATTATAATCACATGTCAGCACACTGAGTGTCTTTCTCTGAGATGGAGTCTCATGAACTGCTTGGCCTGGCTGTGCTGGCCTGGTGAGCTCCTCTTAGTCTGCAGGAGTCAAGCTGACACACACACACCACACTCAGCTATTGGTTGAAAAGTGTTTCTGAAAGGAGAACCCAGTGCAGCCCCAGCTCCATGGTGGTGGTCTGTGCTCAGTCACTGGTGGAATCAGCTCACAGAGCTCAGGTCAGGGCTGGGCTGGTTTTCATGGGCAGAGGGACGTCCTATTTGCATGTCCTCTGCTATAAAGCAGCTCTGGGGGGAAGTCTAGAGACTGGGCTCCCAGAGCAGAGATGACTGTGCTGGAGGAGTTTGGTGACAATGGTCACCTTGCAGACATCATGACGCACTGACCATGTGCTGTGGTTCACACTGTACCTGCAGCTCCTTGGGAGCCTGAGGCAGAGTTTGAGGACATTGAGAGCTGTCTGGGGTGCAGAGGGACACACACATCCTCTCACTCTGCCATTGTTCTTGTACAGCTCATTGTTGTAACGTGTCCACCTGGATCCCTATTTAAACAATTTTTTCCTTCCCCTCCACAAATTATACCAACATCAAATACAGTGAAAGCAAGGGTTATACTGTGGAGGAGGGACATACAAAGCAACAAAGAAATAATCTTATAAATATGTTAGAAACAAGCAAAAGAAAGAAAAATCATTTGAATCCTTATCTTGGAGTTCATTTCACCTAGCATCAACTTCTCTGATAGTTTCTGTTTGTCTCAGACATATACTAGTTATTGGAAATAAGACATAATATGATACTGGTGTTTCTATGGTTGGTTTATTTCCTTTAATCTAACTCTCTTTAGATCTATCACAAATGACAGTCTCTCTCCCAGTCTGTGGGTTAGTTCTATTCCATTGTCCACACCTTTTCCTTTATCTGTTCTTCTCTTGTTGGACTTTTAATCTCAGCCCTCCTCTGCCACGTTCTCCCTAGGATGTCCTGTGCTCCATGCTCCATCTGCCCTGTCCCTAAGTTCTATCTGAGAAACATCAGAATGGCCTTTGCCATGCATCTTGCCAACTTCCTGTTCAGAACACGTAGCTATGAGCAGGTCAGCTCACAACAATGTTTTGGACAGTGATGATCAGGATATATAAAAGGTGTCCCACAGGATTATGGTGCAGATAAAACATTCTTATTATTTAGTGACATAGTTGTAATATCATAGCATCACACATGTTGGCATGTTCACGTAGATGATGGTAGCTAGCCTAGGCTGCTGCTAGTTGCCTAAAATCTAGCAATACATTGATGTACAGTTTACATTTGATATGATAGTAAATGTGTTTCCTAATAGTCTTGAATTCTGTATATCATGAAACATGTTATGTTTCATTATGTCTCAATGTTTCTGGGAGATTTGTTGGCAGCATTTTCCATTAGGCTTGGGTGGATTTGTGTTTTTCATCTCTAGCCTTCCTCAGATCTGATCTTGGAGATCATGGCAAAGTCAATTTCCCCAATGTGTTATTCTCCCTGCTCTGTTGAAGTGAAGTCTCACTATGTTTAAGTAAACCTCACAGTGGAAAGCAGAACATCTGATGCAGACAGTCAAGGATGACTACAGACACAGACATGGAGAAGTCCCTGGGAGGCTGTCAGGGGATGAGCAGAAGTAGGGCAGACACAGAGGAGAGCTGGGGCAGGAAGAGCAGAGGCAGGGCCAATGCATTTGCTTACCAATTAATTAATTTAGTTATTATTATAAAGGACACACGTTAACAGGTACTGGTTATTATTCAATACAGATATACATTGTTAAATGACTAATAGTCTAAGAAGACACATGCTCTAAAGTATTGATGATTTTGTTTTGGTGAAATCTTTCCTTTCTTCATCTTTTTACAATGATTAGTGTTGTGCGAGGAGATACCAGCTACTCCTGATGAGTTTTCAAATCCAAATGAGGACCCAAGACACCACAGTCTCCACATGGACAGAGTAATGGATGTCTCCTGGTGAGATGAATGATTTGTCTCATCATCTACAGAAACTGTCCAGGGGAAACCTCAGAACTTAGAAGTCTTCTTCCTAAAGCTGTAGAGTGCTCACATATGTTCTTGTTCACGAAGTGAATCTTGCTCTTCTCTGATCAGGATGTAATGGAGAAATAAACAAGGACCTGTTTGAGCAGGTAGGGGTGTCCGGGATGCAGGGAGCTCAGTCAGATTGCTGTGAGATCACCTGGCCCAGCCCCTCGTGCCCACGATGAGTGTGCACAGTGACAGTGCTCATGACAGAGCCACAGGGACCCGGACTCCATCCCAGACGGGAAATCCACAGGACTCCAGAGACATCATGATGGAGGAAACCCCAGGAGAGACGTGACCCAGAAAGGTCAGTCTACATGCACATGGCCTGTTGTCTGTCCAGTCCAGCCCAGACTCCTCGTGTCCACTTCCACGTCCCCTGGAGGACAGCAAGAGGCCCTGGTCAGGGGAGACTGAGGAGTCCACCAAGTTTCCAGGGTGCCATGGGCTGAGCTCCAGGGGTATGGCTGACCCCTGTGTTTTATGACTTGGATCCCCAGGGACATTTGGTTGCTGGACAAAGAGAAAAGCAGAATGAGAATATGAGAGTCACTAAGGAAGAAAGTGAATGAATGTAGCAATTCTAGTAAGTCAGTTCTGAACCCCTGAGCAGTGCTACAGGCGGAGGGAGGAGGGCAGCATTTGAGGCCTGTTAAGAGTCATGGGTCAATGGGCTGTGTACTCTGTCTCTCTCTCCCTTCCTCTTCTTTTCTCTCTTTTGGTCTGTCTGTTTGTCTCTCTCTCTGTACTGTTTTGAACTCAGGGCTACTATTTTAGGCACACACATGCATTTCAGCCCTTTCTGCAGCTTTTCTGATGTTATTTATTTTCTGGTACTGTGAGGTGGTTTTGCCTGGGGCAGTTTGCAGACAGTGATTTCACACTTGCCTTCTGTGTAGCTGGAATCACAGGAAACAGCTGCCACATGTAACTTATTGATGAGATGGATTCTCATTAAGGTTTTGCCCATTTGGCCTCCACAAATACTCATTTTTCTCTCCTCCTCCCAAGTCCCTAGGATTACAGACACCAGTCACCATGCCGGGTATTTTCCCTCTTGTTCACAGAACAAATTCCGACTCTGTGAATCCTGGGATCTTTGTCCTGAGTCTCATGGGGTCACCAGCGTCCCTGAGTTTCTTCAGGATCAAATACTGGTCAACACTGCAGAGCCATTTTTGCTTCCACCGTGATACTCTGTTCATTCTTAACAGTCTCAGCAAAGGACTGGAGACATCACAGAGGAGTGGGGGTCATAAACTCAAGAGAGATGCTGTCACACTGTGGACACAGAGGCAGGGCAGACAGCAGAAGAGCAGCCCTGGGCTCTGTGTGCAGCTGCTCCTGAGCTGACCTGGCTCCAAGCTG